GTGATTCAAATCACTAAATTGAATCACTGTCCCCCAAATCTGAAGCGACTACTAGCAGCTTCGCACTGGCCTATTGGCCACACTCTCGAGCTGCCCAGGCCGGCACCACTCCCAAGTCTTTGGGGGCCTGATGCAATGCACCCTGGGGATTCCTGCAGCACGCATATTAAGCTGCCATGCCCCGACTCAGGGAGCATGTCTGCAAGCAGGGGATCCTGGGTGCACTGCCACAAGCAGGGGAACCGAGCTGGGGCATGGCACCATTCCTGGAGCCCCAGGAACAGCAGGGGTCTGCCCCTGAGGGACAATCACCCTAGTGACATCTGTAGACATGAATGAAACAGATCACCTGTGCTGGGTGATCCTGCTCCAAACACAACATCTGTTTATACCCACACAGCACCATGAGGTTAACAACTGTACCTCAGGAACACTCTCATCATCCCCAATGGCTTGGGAGACAAGTGTCATGAAGAAAAAAACCCCAATCAATAGGATAAAAACTGCCTCCAAATAAAAACCCAGGAGAAAAAAAAATCATTTAAAAATAGATCAAATCAATGAGGATGTGGGCAGCTGAGTGGCAATACTGTCAGGATATCAAAGCAGGATTCAATCAATTTTCTGTTGCCTTAAAGAACTGGGATTTGCAATGTTAATAATGCTTTATAGTCAGTTCCTAGGTTTGTCTTAAAGAAACACAAATGTGTTGTTATATATCCACAGATTTGCAATAAAAACCTGCCCACCCACCATAAAACAGTAGTCAGCATTTGAAACGGCCTTTCAGAGCCACAGCACGTCTAAACCTTTAGCTAATAACACAGTAACTACATTGGCTCGCGGTGACAGTAGTCTACTATCCTTTCTGTCACAGAAGGGGAAGGGGGAAGAGACTAAAAACTGGCATGAACAGTCAGCGTTAAAGACAGCATATCTCCTCTCACTTATCCCTGGCAGGCTGAGAAACAATGCAGGCAAAATGGATGCGACTCAAGTCGGCTGTGTTACAGAAATAGGCTCCACCTCAAATGAGTGATCTGCAACCTTCTGATACTCTACGGTAGGGGCAAGAAGCATTGCTTGGTAAAAATGATCAAATATGTAGTAGTTTAAATGTCAGAAGATGCGAGTATACAGTTCACAGTTGCCTGGATCAGAGCCTAGTGCAACAACATTCCTGTGTTCCATTTTGATGCAACAGCAGTATTTGCTGTTACTGTTTCATCCCTACCATACAGTGTTTCAGTTCTGCAAATATGATTGTAGGAAATATGTTTAGAAAATGTATAGAGAAGGGCTAGTCAGGGTCTATTTTGGTAAAGGATGATTCATGATTCACATGTCAGCGACATCTGGAAGGATTTTCAAGCCCATCGTTAACAAACACAAACAGTTACAAATCTTACCTTGATTGCTGAGACATCCCCTCAAACTTGTTTGCAGTCTTAGTCGAAGATGGGCCCAAATCATTACCTAAGGGGCAAAAATGATTAGGTTATTTGCATTTTTAGTAGTGATAAAAAACCTTAACATATAGGAGAAAGTATCATTACATAAACCAGAGCTGGCCAACTTGCAGGACACATACTACAGGTGGCACGGGCAGTTTCCATGTGTGGCACATGGCAGACTGGGGAGTGGAAAGGCAGGGCAAAGACAGATAGTGCAGAAAGCAGAGCAGCAGAAGAGGCAGGGAGCAGAAGGCAGAGAAGCAGATAGAGCAGAGGAAGGGGATCAGAGTGACACTCAGGCAGAGTGCAAGGTTAATTTGTGGCATGCATGCCTAACAGGCTGGCCCCCACTGTTATAAACCAAAATCTGCAGCTTTCCAAATACACCATTAGCTTGTTCATGTGTACATTAAAGTGAAACGTTCATTCATAGTTTCATACATTTTAAGATTAGCAGGGACTGTATGATTATCTAGGATGGCCACCTGTGTAACATATACAGGAGTGTATTTGGAACAACAATTGCTGGTAACGGGAAAAAGGCCAGTCTCATACAGTCAGCATTGCAGGGCATTTCCTTTGAATGCAAAGTTAATTTTTGCAGAAACTGGAAAAAAATCTATATAAAACTCTCCCCTTAACAAGTTCATGGGAAGGCACTAGAGTGAAATAAAGGAAAAAAAATCAACTTCTTCCTTTAGAAAGTACATAGTCTTTTAAACCCATTATAAATTAGCTCTGACTTAGGAAATGCTGATTCTGTAGGGGTAGGTATATATTCAAAGGTAGTCTACATAGTAAGGACCCCAGAAGACTTTTTTCCAGATAGAGAGAGGCAAGGATGTCTCTTGTACTGGACCAACTGCATTGTTACCTCTTGAATATTTCCTGGACCATCATGGCTACAGCATTAGCTCAACTCTTCCAAATAACTCCCTGTGTGAATGTTCTTATTCCAGATTAAGATTGCCTTATTCCAATTAGCTTAATCTATTTTGGAAAATAGGGCTCTAATCAGAACTAGCTATTCCTCTTCAAATATATATTCCATTTTAATCTGAACTGATTTCCCTATGTAGAAAAAAACCCAGGTTTTACTGAACTCTGCCAGAAGGTAGTGAAAGCCAAAAATGAAGTCAGCACATCTGAGACCTCCTAACAGAGCACTTCCCCTCCATTAATCATAAGCATCATGAAGACTTGTGCAGCTGCAGTTAAGAGTGCCTTCTATATTTGGGAGCCCTTATCACGATCAAATCCTCCTTCTGTAACACCATTTCTGACAAGCCTTAAATTTGACAATAAAAGATTTAGACTAATGTGACTAGATCCCATGGTGCAAAAAAAAACTGTTAAATTAATTCTACAGAGGCTGAATTTACTAAACTGACAACTAATGATACACGCTAAGTAGTAATGTGCTTCCTACACAAAGAAACTGAGATTGACATTTCCATTCCTAGCAAATGGAAGGATCAATAAAAGGATAGCAGCAAAAATTTTAGTAAAATTTAATTTCTCTGCTCAATAATAGCTATGCCAACATGGAGACTAAAAAATTAGTGACAGTACATAAATAGAGCATCAAGATTAGAAAAAAACAACACATATTTAGCAATGTGGATGGGACATTGGTCCCATTCAGCATTGGTCTAAACTGTTTCCAATGAAGTCAGTGCTAAAAGTCCTATTAACCGCAAAGCAGCAGTTAAGCTCCGCTCGGCCCTAGGATACATTTTACCATTCACAAAAATGGATCTGGGGGCACAGTATCCCAGCAAGGGGTGGGCAACGAAGGATTTCAGAACATCCCAAGTGAAGAGTCTTTTTTTATGCTGAGAGCTGTTGAAAGGCAACCTGTTCAACTTACAGGAGTAGAGAGGTCTTTGCTCAAGAAATCATCTACACTCAAAACTCAAGTACAGAATGCAAGTCCTTCAGTAATACCTGATTCAAAGCATTTCATGAGTTTCATTTATTTTAAATATATTTCAGAACAAGACCAGTGCCAAGACTGTATACATTTTTTCCAGTAGGATCCAATAGCTAATGTAACAAAGGTCTCCTAGTAATGGCAGAAAGGTCCAAATTAAATCTCGGTAACAATTTTGGAGTATTTTGAACTACTTATTTGGTCAAATGTAAAGCAAAAATTGGTCTTCTTGAAACCTTAACAGGTAAGATGCAGCTGAAGCACCAAAGAGGCTAGCAAAAAAGCCTATTAAAGATGCAAAGATGGAAACTAGCTTTGAAAGATTAAGCTATCAGACAGCAATCCCAAACCTTGAATGCAAATGCCATCTCTTGTCATTAAAAGCCTTCTCCAAGTGAAAATTTAATTTCCCATTTAACAGACCTTAAAATCCCAAAAGACTTCCAAACTTTGTGGCACATTTTCAAGGGTACTGACTGCACTGCAGAGTAGAGATACCTAGGTTAGCTTGAGTTGAGCCACAGCAGACTGCAGAATAAACTAGCCTCCACTCACCTCCGCAATGCTGTGGCCAGGATGCTTGCCTTACCTAAGCTAACTCTGGACCACACTGCTATCTGCTGTGTAGATATTTCATAGATTTATTTGAAAGGCTCTCAATCTGATTTACTAGTGATTCTACCGTTGTGAGCGGCACCACTGCCACTACTAGCACTTTTCATCGCATTTTAGCCTCTCATTTTACAACTGTTATCCTAGCTTTAGAAGATTGGGGAAATTCTCGTAGTCAAAATTCAGGGAGAAGGAATTCATTTAGGTTATGATTTGTAAAAATATTCTTAATTTAGAACTGGCCATTCATGTTTTAAGGTAGATACCTCAGTCTGTTTGAAACCCCACATCACGAACAGCATATGCAGCATACTTGAAAGTACAAACATACATACACTTTAGTATGTCCCAACAAGCTTGAATTCAGGTTTCTGTCTCCTGTACAAAAGCTGTTTCTATTACCAACACCAGAGGCAATGCACATCATTAACTGTTTTAAATTCTGCTGTTATCTAAGGAAGGAGAAAGTTTTTCAGCTCAAATTAAAAAAGCACTTAATGGCAGCAGTATCTACTGGGTATGATACAGAACCAACATAGGGCTCTTTCTGCGTTCCTTGCTCTGCTACAGATTCACAGGTCATTTTGGGTAAGTCTATAACCTTTGTCCCTCACTTAGTCCAGCTGTAAGATTAAAATACTTCGAATTAAAACATATGTACGCACTCCTCTGTAAAAGCTTGACGTACATGGATGAAAAAAGTAGATGTCAAGAACAAATGCTAAGCATTTGTCTTCAATTCATTTATTTTTAAAGACTCATCCAAATGATTTGGTTTCTTTTAAATAAAACATTTCCAAATCTGCACTCATTGATTGCACTGTTACCCTTCTTTGAAACCAGAGTGGATAGCCAAAGATTGGGGCCAGAGGCAACTGCTGTTAGTAAGGAAACTGTTGATGGTATCATGGTGCAATCTTGTTTATTTGGAAGAAGGAATGTGCCAAGTCCCATTTTCCTGTGCACAGGAAGGCTAGAACGGCACATCATCTCTTTCCTCAGAGGTCTAAGCTTTTCAGCCAGCACAGCACAAAAACCCTGAGATTTTCCTCAGATCCACACTATTCTTGCACCCGACACTGAGGCACGATGACCCAGATAACGGATTCCTTTCCCCGCTTCTGGCCTTACGGAAAAAAAGGCATAGCAGAGCAAATCAGAAACGCCTGCCAGTAGGAGCAGTTGCAGGGGTAGCCATAGCAGGGGTTTTTTAACTTGAGTTTGTTCTTTGCCCTGTGGTGACCACCAGTTTGCTTCAAACTTCTCCCAGTCTTCATCTCAGCTACCCTCTATACAAACCCCTCTTCTCCCCTGCCGGCTTCCCTAAGCTGTCTAACTAAGGCTACCACCAAAATATGGCACTGAACAGCATCTGCTGGCATAATGCTCTTCACTCACCTCGTACATATACTTCTTTTCCATACCCCATGTCTATCTTGTCATCACTGTCAGGCTTTGGTGGCAGAGACCACACACTACTGTTTGTGTACAGCACGTCACACAATGGGACCTCGTTCCTGGTTGACCATTAGGCACTGTTATAATGTACATACATAATAACTACAGTTTAAACTGACGATGCTGATTCAGGCCTATAACACTGTCTATGGTCCCTGGAATTGGGAATTCCCTTCTCACTTTATTTTCAAATAGCCCAAAACTGTTGCGCATACTGCAAACCTCTCTCACTTGCTACGTTTTCAGGAGCAGGCCATGCCGAATGCAACAAACAGGTATACATTATATTCTTGCTTAGAAAAGGACTACTGTTTTCACTGAAACTTTTTTTTTTCCTCTCTCGTGCTGACACCTGGTCTGAATCTCAAATACAGATGGAGGCACACACACAAACAGGTCTAAAACTAGCCTAGTCCTAAATGTTTTCAAATTGGTCAGCTAATTTATAGTGTTTTTAGGTTCTCAGGAGATTTATATCAGGATATCTATAGGACAGTTATGGGATTTTAGTAGAGGAAGCTGACCTATTCAACAATTTTTGGATTTAAACCTGCAATGTAAAAGGACCCACGGAAGTCCTGCCCACTGCAATGGGTACATACCGGCATCACACAGTCCCTAGATTTATTGTTTTTGGAAAACTGAATTTGGCAGATGAAAAATTGGGGATGTCTGTAATGTTCACTTGGAAATGCCCAAGACAAATACTTTGCTCTGAGCATATTTGCAGCAGTATCAAATGCTTACTGCTCATAACATTTTGCTTTGAACCACTTCCTCTCGTATTTACTAAGGTTAAAGGAGAACACGGTGTTCTGGGACTGGTGGAAATAAAGCAGAAGCATTTCTTCAGAGATTTGCCTTTAAGGAAAAAAAAAAAAAAATCCTCAAAAAGTGTCAGTTATGACAAGCCTGGATTTACAGTGACCAAAAGCATTTTGACTGGGTTAGCCAGGATTCACTAGGAGAGAATATGCCTATCTGAACAGGAATGTAATAACTGTTTCTATAAAGTTTTG